CTGGTCATTAATCTCTTGGGGATGACTATTTCATAGGAAGCATAATATACTGATCCCAAGGCACAATGAATGCCTGGAAGGAGTACCACTATCAACAGAAGGAAGAACCCCCGGCTGGCATGGGAGGACCCCAGCCCAAGACCCCACTCCCACATCGGGGGCACTCTGAAAGAAAACTCTCTTTCCTCCTCATCCATGGACACTTGGCTGCACGGGAGGGGAGTCAGGGGCACAGCTCGGGCCACGTCCCCAGACCTGACCCCAGAGAAGCCACTGATGATGCTGGGCTTCTGCCCTTAACTCCTCGCCTGGACCCTGGTCTTCTCAGTGACATGATCTTGAAAGCTCTGTAGGCTGTTCATTGCCCTCCCAGAGAATTCCTAGGATCTCAAGTGGCCCTCTGGCTCCCTCCCCTCTTGGGCCCTTAGGGTTCCAGTCTGTGTCTTCCTATGGCAGCAGCAGCCTCAGCCCTCTCTAAATCTCTCTGGTTTCTAGCTAAGTTTCTTCAGCCCTCACACTGGATGCACTAACTGCAGATGGCCTCCTGGTATCTTGTCCCTAGACAGGACTTGGTGAGGAAAAAAACAATGCCTCCCCTCCCTTTTAGCCTCCATCATAATGGGAACCCCCTCTCCCACCTTTTGTATCCAAGAGTTACAGAGCTGGGGTGGGGGTCAGTCTGCTTGCTTTCCCCTTTGGCCAAAGCCAGGATTGTTACTTTTGTTGCACATTGTCAATCCTGTCTCTCTCTCTGATTCAGAGCTCCCTCCATGCCAAGAGTTTCTGGCCTGACCCTTGATAGGTAGTGTGAGACCTATTTGAGCCCTTCTTCACCTAAGGAGGCCAAAAACCTGGACTGGCCAATCATAAGGGGACATTTTGTCCCGCTCTCAGTTACCATGTCCTAATCCTTTGGCATGCTCTCTGAGTGAATCCAGGGTTTTCCTGCTAGGTGAAGCTGACCAGGAGCATTGTGTTTATGACCGATAAGGACCAGGCACCTTGAACCTGACACTGTTAACATCACAGATAATCAGGATGGTGTGGTTACCGATCCAGAACCAGACAGCTTGGAGAATGAAGTCAAGTGGACCTTATGAAGCATTGCTATGAATAGCGTAATGTGTAATTCCAAGCCCAAACCCACATCTCATCTGGGAACAGTTGTATTTTTCACTTATCTTTTTATTCTAATAATTCCTGTTCCAAATCACACCTAAGCTTCCAAAGCATGGCTTGCCGCCATTCAACAGGTACTGGGAGATGGCCCTTCCTTGTTGGCCAGCCCAGCCTGAATCCTTCTTCAGGTTCTTCTTACATGTGCTTTTGTGGGCCTGTTTTGGGGTACTTGCTTTTTTCTTCTTTTCCTTCTCCGGGTGTAGCCCAGGATAATGAGGTACCAGATTACACTGTTCACAAGGAGGATGAGGGTAACCAGGAATAAGAGGATGGGCAGTAGTGTGTTTTCCCTAATTCCTCTTCTTGGGAGCTTGCGGGAAGGAGTGATGATCATCGCTGGAAGATCAGTAGGCTGGTTCTGTGATGGGAAGGTGTGGATTGGAGGAGGAAGGGTGGGAGTAGTGGTGATGGTGGTCTGTTGAGTGGTGGTGGTGGTACTAGTGGTAGTGGTTGGGGTAGTGGTGGTGGT